CCTGGGCTCAAGCGAGTCTCCTGCCTCTGCCTCCCAAGTAGCTTGGACTACAGGTGCCTGCCACAACGTCTGGCTATTTTTTGGTTGCAGCCATCATTGTTGTTTGGTGGGCCCAGGCTGGATTCGAACCCACCAGCTCAGGTATATGTGGCTGGCGCCTTAGCCACTTGAGCCACAGGTGGTGCAGAGCCAAGAAAATCTTAAGGGTAAGAATGTTTTGTCAACATATCTCTTTTTGACTTGAGAAAAGATCTCCATAGTTGGAATAACTACTTGTTTAGGCCAAGTCAATCCTAATTCCCCACTTCCCCAGACAGAGTTGCCCTTTGTTGCCCCAGTAGAGTGTCCTGGTGTCACAGCTCACAGCAACCTCAAACTGTTGGGCTCAAGCAATTCTCTTGTCTCAGCTTCCCAAGTACTGGGACTACAGGTGTCCACCACAATGTTTAGCTATTTTTAGAGATGAAGTCTCCCTCTGGCTCAGGATGGTCTTGAACTCAGGAGCTCAGGCCATCCACCCTCCTCTGCCTCCCAGAGTGCTAGGATTACTGGTGTAACTCCTAGCCTCAGTGCTAATTTTTTTTTTTTTTTTTTGCAGTTTTTGGCCAGGGCTGGGTTTGAACCCACCACCTCCGGCATATGGGGCCGCTGCCCTATCCACTGAGCCACAGGCACCATCCTAATTTTTTTTTTTTTTTTTGAGACAGATTCTCATTATGTGGCCCTCGGTAGAGGGCCATGTGGACACAGCTCACAGCAACCTCAAAATCTTGGGCTCAAGCGATTCTCCTTCTTCAGTCTCCTAAGTAGCTGGGACCACAGGTGCCCGCCACAACGCTCGGCTATTTTTTGTTGCAGTTGTCATTGTGGGTTAGCTGTCCTTGGCCAGGTTTGAACCCGCCACCTTTGTATATGGCTGGTGCCGTAACCACTGTACTATGTAAATGTTTGCCTGCCTGAACATATGAACATAAAAATGAAAAGATCACACTGATTCTTCAGTCTTTTTCTATATATGTCTTTTTGTGGTTTTCCTCCCAGGGAGGTGAAGAATATTGATCAAAGAGAAGCAGAAATGCAAAAGGAAAACCAGATGTTCCTCCCCGGACCATCGGCATTGGGCGTCAATGAGGAATTTCTTGAAAAGAAACTGAAGGGAAGCTACCAGAGAGAGATCCAGTTTATTTTAAGGTTCGTTCAGATAAAATCCATGGAAATATTAGAAGCATGAACAGTTTGATCACTTTTTTTTTTTTTTTTTTTTTGCAGTTTTTCACCGGGGCTGGGTTTGAACCCACCACCTCCAGCATATGGGGCCAGTGCCCTACCCTTTCGAGCCACAGGCACTGCCCCACCCCACACACTGAATTTTTGAACTGTTTTGTTGATGTCTTCTTGTTTTTCCCACAGGAAGGAAAAGTTGGAGAGGGAAAGAGAAGAGAAACAGAAGTTAATTTCTCCCCTCCCATATCCAGACTGCAAATTCTGCTATAACCTGGACTTAAGAAACCCCTACAGAATCAGTGCTCTTTCTACTAGCAGGTGAGCTGGAGCAACAAGAAAAATGGAAAATCGTGGCCAAAGACTGAAAAATAGAAATCACTTTTCTTTTTTCTTTCTTTCTTTTTTTTTTTTTACAGAGTCTCACTTTATTGCCCCTGATAGAGTGCCATAGTGTCACAGCTCACAGCAACCTCCAACTTCTGGGTGTAGGCTATTCTCTTGCCTCAGCCTCCCGAGTAGCTGGGACTACAGGCACCTGCCACAACACCTGGCTATTTTTTTGTTGCAGTTTGGCCTGGGCCGGGTTTGGTGCCCTACTCACTGAGCCACAGGTGCCACCCTAGAAATCACTTTTCTATCATACGAGAAAGATCTTTTTTTTTTTATTTGTTTGTTTTAAGAGACAGAGTCTCACTGTGTCACCCTCGGTAGAGTGCTGTGGTGTCACAGCTCACAGCAACCTGAAACTCTTGGGCTTAAGCGATTCTCTTGCCTGAGCCTCCCAAGTAGCTGGGACTACAGGCATCTGCCACAATGCCCAGCTATTTTTTTTTTTTTTTGTAATTGTCATTGTTGTTTGGCAGGTCTGGTCTGGATACGAATCTGCCAGCTCTGGTGTATGTGGCTGGTGCCCTAGCCTCTGCGCTATAGGCACTGACCCAAGGGAAGATCTTATTATCATTATTCCTGGGCTGAGTATGCTTGGGCCACTACATGTATTCATCCATTTACTCTTTTACTCAGTGTTTTATTAAGCATGTCTGTAAGCAATTACAAACGTGACCTCATTTGTAAAACTTTCACACCAGCCATGTGAGGTAGAGGTTGTCCATGGCACATTACATGGCAGCTAGCCCAGGCTCAGAGAGGCTTCAGAAGTTCCCTACAGTAGATTCTGAGTACTTAACAGTGGTTAAGACACGGTCCCTATGGTCATGGGATCCCAGCCTGGTAGAAGGAAGGCAGATGTAAAACAAATTACATGCCCTGTGTGCTAGAAACGCTGTTGGACACAGGGGCACTGAAAGTTTCCAGACCCAAGGATAAAATCATTCCAAGACATGAGACGAAAGGAAAACGGAGATCCAATTCATGCAGTTAAAGTGGCCTTTATTCTACCTAGAATACAGCTGGGGTGAGATTCCTGACCAGGGAGAAATCCACATGTGGGCTATAGTGGACAGGGATTTAAAGGGTTAGGGCAGTCAGGACTGGTGGCATTCCTATTTCCTGGGAGGGAAAGGAGTCTGACCCTCTCTGGGTGAGCCATGAACCTGACCCTTCCTGGGCAGGGCAAGTTTATTTGGGCAGGTACATCTGATCCATCAGGCACAAAGACAGAGGCCTGGAGCCACACAGACACACTTTATAAAACTGGTGGCCCTGACCCTGAGTTTAGAAAAGATGAGAAGGTGTTTGCTAGGCAGAAGGTGGGCCATGTACACCAGAGCTGGCAGGTTTGAATCCAGCGCAGGCCTGCCAAACAACAACGACAACTACAACCAAAATTAGCTGGGTGCTGTGGAGGGTGCCTGTAGTCCCAGCTACGTGGGAGGCTGAGGCAAAAGAATTGCTTAAGTCCAAGAGTTTGAGGTTGCTGTGAGCTGTGACACCACGGCACTCTACCCAGAGCGACATAGTAAGACTCTGTCTCAAAAAAAAAAACAAAACCGGCTCAGCGCCTATAGCTCAACCGGCTAAGGCGCCAGCCACGTACACCTAAGGTGGCGGGTTCGAATCCCCGGCCCGGACCCGCCAAACAACAATGACGGCTGCAACTAAAAAATAGCCAGGCGTTGTGGCGGGCGCCTGTGGTCCCAGCTACTTGGGAGGCG